ATGTACGTCCTATTTTAGGATACGCATTTGAAGTATGGGATGGTTGCTCTGTAAAGAACTGATAGACTTAACAGTTAGAAGCAGCAAGGATCGCTACATTCTTAAAAAAATACCCATGCTTGCCGTAAAAGGCGACTTTGCTTGTCGTAAGAGGCGACTAACAGGATCGGGTGGTCAGGCTCGCTGACTTGGTTGATGCATATCATCGATCCCATTTGCGTGGATTTATGCTTATGATATCAATCACTGGATTGTCTGATCCAGACCCGATTATTTACAGACCGCCGTCATATAGCTGGAATATTGTTGAGTGCGGCGTTACAAACAAACAAACATCAAAAAATAATTTCTAAAGCTTGCTTGGATGGTTACAATTAAATATTAGACGCAGACAGAACAATGTTTTGTACATTCTCAACTACAAAGTCACAGAATATCTTCATGTTTTAATTCCTTCAACAAATGATACGTTAACTAATTATAGTGAGTAAGGGGGGGGGGGGGGGGGTTACGCCGCTGTTAATAGTATTCCAGTTATATCACGGCGTGTCAGCTTAATGTGGGAGGAAAGACCAAAGTGATGCAGGTCTCAGACGTTTACCACTTCGGTGAAACCCACGAGCACGGGTATGGTGCTGACAAATCTAGAAACATAATCGGGGTGAACCGTAATTCGAACCCACAATCATAGGTTTCTGGTGTGCCCAAGGGACGCAACTCTGCACAGCGAATCGCGGCGCCTTAGACGACTGGGCCACCCGTGCACCCGTTAACTGATTATAACCCACGAAACAAATTTAATCCTTCAATAGCTGGAACAAGCATGCTTTATTGAAAACAGCAGCTATTTGTGGAAGCAACTTCAGTCAGTTTTAGTAAAAGGAGCCAGTTCATTACAGTACATATTGGACTGAAATTAAGCTAAAAACCAAAAACACACCTTCTTTATATTTGTTTGAAAATACGAAAACAAACATTTTACATACAAGACTGCATGCTGTAATTATAAGCCGATTTCAAGGCAAATCTTATAGAAAATCATCTCTGTAATTGTGGTTCTGACTCTTAAGCTTTTACATCATTTCCTTGAACGTTTTAATTACTTTAGATCTCGTTGATTACTATCCCATGGTTTTCCAAATTTGGCATAAAATTTGATCTTAACATTATTCTTACGGCTACCCAAACTTAGATGACAGTGTCAATAAGCTCCTCATTAAAGACATAATTATATACTGCTAAATAAAACATTTAACTCATTCATGCTTTTGTCTCCAAATATGTTTTTTTGTAAGTAGTTGGTTGCATGTATTGATTAACTAACCTTTCTGTAGTTGGGAAAGTAGGAAGGATCGAGTAATCTCCTGGAGCATTTTTTCCAATCCTATTGTCAATAAAATAGTATTCAATCCCACCTCCTCGGCAGTTTGTTGACCGACACATCTCTTGTATATATAGATCGATACAAACAGTCACGACTGGCTCACGCATTCATCACGACCTCCTTGAGAACGTAAAGGGCACTTGTGATACAGTGTTATATTATTTTCCCATACAATACAAGAATCGGATTGGACAGTTCTGAGATAGGGTATATCGGTATGTTGAACATGTTGATTATTGAAGATACCATAGCTGGCAATGACAGCGGAACATTATTTGTCGCATAAACACTTCAACGTAAACACCTACAAGATCGCGCGTGAGCTAAAGACTTATATGTTATAGAAAAAACAAATAAAACATTTTCCAAATAACCAATTCAAACTCAACTGTCGCGACCGGGAGCTCGAGAGTTCAACAAGTGAGATTTGAAAATAGAGCGGGACGTGGTATTCAGTGTTTATGACAACCTATTTTAAAACGGATCTGAATCTGTCCATTTGTGTTTTTTCCAGTAAGGCGGCCTTTGTTCTCAATATGTTTGAATATTTCATTATATTGTATTCTTAGAACGTTGCGTTCGTAATATGACAAAGTTACTTGCTTTGTCAACATTGATACATCAACTTCGACTTGCTTTGCACTATTTAAATCTAGTTTGCAACTAAAAACATTATAAATAAATAATACTATTTTTAAAGAATAAAATGTTTGGTAATGTTTTTATAAATATATTTGCCTCATGCATCTGCTCGGGGTTGTGTCCACCCATTCATTATATATACAGACACTTACAGATTTATAGAACTTGATAATGTAAGGTTGTGGGCTTGGACGTTCGTCTCACTGGCGGTGGGGTATGGCCACGCCCTTTTCTAACACATGATGACATTTTGTATGCGCATATCGTTGATTTGGTTGTTAAAACACACACACACACAGACACACACACACACACACACACACACTCATCCACCCACCCACCCACCCACCCCTACTGAAGTTACAAATGGCCCCACGCGCACAGAGTGTCGGGAGCCACCTTACGGTGATACCAAAATTCTATGTCACGGGAAATTTAATCTTAACTGCAAGTGGGGGCACGTGTGGGCCAGTCGTCTAAGGCGCCGCGATTCGCTGTGCAGAGTTGCGTCCCTTGGGCACGCCAGAAACCTATGATTGTGGGTTCGAATCCCGGTTCGCCCCGATTATGTTTCTACGTTTGTCAGCACGATACCCGTGCTCGTGGGTTTCACAGAAGTGGTAAACGTCTGAGACCTGCATCACTTAAGGCTTTCCTCCCACATTAAGCTGACACGCCGCGATATAACTGGAATACTGTTAAAAGCGGCGTTGGACTCAACTCACTAACTTAACTGCAAGTGTCATGAAAATTGTACTAGATGTTTCTTACATCAGTATGCAGCCAGTATGATGGACAATACGTTGTCCGAGAAAAAACAGTACGAAAAAGTAGACTTAGAGTTGCGCTTGATTCAAAGTGCGCATTATGAGGTCTGTATATGAATCAACCCAAATGGATCTTAAAAGTGCTAACGAGGAGGCGTGGCTTAATTAGCACGGCCGGTTAGGCCTTGCAAGCTGATTGGGTAACTCCACCAGTCGGGTACAGAATAGACGTGCTCCTGTTATAACTTGTAGTGAGACCTGTGTTGTAAATACAATACCGGTATGATTCCATGTATGTCAAGAATGTGGCTAGTGGGGGCCTGTCAAATAAACTTTATTTAACGTGAATTATATAATTCTAACATTGTAAGATATTTTCCTTTTCAATTTCAGGGGCGCGGGTTCCACACATCGTTGTGTTAATTATAATCCCTGCATTCTGATTAGCTGAATTGGTGCATTCGTTTCCCAAAGAATGTAAAACACGCCCACCGAAGCGGACTATACGTTCACAACGTCGTAATGTCGGGGAATCCCAATTACAATCGAGGGAAATCCCTTTCGGCTCACCTGTATCATCATGAAGTTATAACACCAATTAAACTGCTTAGTGCCATTTTCCGGTTTCAAACATACCAACAACAAAACAATACTGTTGTCTTCCACACTCTCGGCACAAACCCCGGCCTAGCACAATCTCCAGAATTTCCACAATGTTCCAGTTCTTAGAAATTAATGTTTGAATCTGGCGGTTACTGACCATGTCACGTGAAACAGCTGACTTCTCCCTGACTTATTTGTTCGGGTTTGTAACAGCTGCAGTTTTTTTTCTCGTCGTTTTGATTGACATGTCCTATGAGCTTTGCTTGATGTTACTCTCCGTTTATTGGTTACTGACTTTGTGGGCGTGTCAAGTGATGTGCATTAATTAAACAATGATCTGATTCCCTACACTTGGAATGTTTTTCAATTAAGGATTGACTGTGCATCTTTTTCGGTTCATTGAGGTATGAATCGAAAACCGATGTGCAAACTGTATGAATCCGCGTAGCGGATTCTTACAAACGTTTGTACATCGTAGCGGATTCATACAGTTTGCACATCGGTTTTTCGATTCATATCTCAATGAACCGAAAATGCCCTGTGAATGACGATACACGTGAGCAGAAAGGGAATTCCCTCGACTGTAATATTGGGATTCCCCGACATGCTGCAGTAATAAAAGTAGTGCGCCGCGGTGGGCGTGGCTTAATTTTTTACATTCATTGGCACACTCCGTCGCAGTGGTGACTCAGCATAACACCACTGCCACAGGCTAATTTGCATATCACGTGACCGGACTTTTCTCTTGTTTGTAAACAAACGCGCTTTTTCAGAAATCAGTATAGAACGGACTAATGCAAGTATTTGGGGGCGCTTTACATATTGTTTTGCATAACTATATAGATATGCTACTACAACTGCGACAGTGAGTTGCATGACAATATATATTTATGCATCAAAGTGACCGTGTCGCTAGCTCTCCGTTGGGCTTCGATGACAGCACGTGGAGCCGTACAACCAATGTAAACATAGGATAACTACGCAAAAACAAGTAGATTTTTACGTATTTGCATACTTTCTAAATGAAAGTTAACCATTCCTTGACATTTGTTTATGAAAATGTGTAGACTTGTCAAACATGAAACGGATGAAAAGCATATACAATATCTTGAATGGACTGTGAAAGATGTGACGAATCGTCACATGGCGCTGGCTCACATTGAAGTATATAATAAACTATGCTAGCTGGCTGCCGGCCGCATGGAACTCTGGGTAGGAGAGTGATTCATTGGGAAATGAATGCAATAACACGTGACCAATTCAGCTAATCAGAATGCAGGAATTTCCATGAACACAACGAAAATTTAATTATTCTATTTTGATAAATAGTCTGCTTTGATTTATATAATTGTTTTCGTATTGAACTATTGTTGACAACACGTTTTCGTTGTCGATTATAAGGATTGACTGTGTATTTTTCTGTTCATTGATGTATGAATCGAAAAGCCAATGTGCAAACTTCGCTACACGGGTTCATACAGCCTGCACATCGGGAAACATACACAGTCAGTCCGTAGCAAAACGCTAGCCGTCTAGTTTCTATATAACAAGTCCATGACGTAACTCAATAGGTGTCTGTGACGTCATTGGTATGACATGACGTCACAATCAGGCGTCGTCAAAGTTGTCAGTTGCCAAAATGAAACCAAGGACGAAGATGCCTAACAAAAAAGTGCCAAGAAGGCCACCACCAAAGGAACGGTTGGATAACCCCAACTCGCTTTTATACCATCCTCAATTTGAAAAGCTTGTTGGCGAGGACTGCTTGATAACCTTAAAATGCAGCATATGCCTGGATTTCTACAACGACCCGACAGTATTGCCGTGTGGGCATACATTCTGCAGCAAGTAAGTAATCCGTGTTTACATGCACCTGTTTTGATTTCATACATACATACGTATTACCACAATGCTTGGTTGGTTGGTTTGTTGTTTAACGCCGCACTCAACAATATTCCAGCTATATGACGGCGGTCTGTAAATAATCGAGTCGGCATCGATCCGCGCAATTGGGATCGATGACATGCATCAACCAAGTCAGCGAGCCTGACCACCCGATCCCGTTAGTCGCCTTTTACGACAAGCATAGTCACCCTTTACGGCAAGCATGGGTTGCTGAAGACCTATTCTACCCCGGAATCTTCACGGGTCTTACCACAATGCAATTGTAACCCTAATTTTTTTCAGATGTTTGTTCCATTTAATTTCTGCCACGAAGCATTCATCAACTATTCACAACGAGTATTTCCTGAAGCTCAATATTTTGGGTCTGGTAAAAATGGTTTTCTTATTTTAACATAAACGTAATGATGTGTTTAGGGAGGCTAGGGGCGGTCGGGTAGCCTAGTGGTTAAAGCGTTCGCTCGTCACGCCGAGGACCCGGGTTCGATTCCCGACATAGGTACAATGTGTGAAGCCCATTTGTGGTGTCCCCCGCCGTGATATTGATGGAATGATGCTAAAAGTGGCGTAAAACCATACTCACTTTAACGAGGCGACAAAAATGGCGTCTGAAAAATAGAAACCGGTACTAAGGAATTAGCTCGTGCACATCTCTTACCCAAGTGGCGGAAGGTGTCCGGTATACTGCATTCTTTTTTCTTTTTTTCTTTTTTTCTTTTTTTTTTTATTGAAATATCAGGGTATTTATTTATATATATAAGGAAGTGGGGAAGAGGAAACTACAACAACAACAACAACAACAACAACACAGCCCTCTCTGTCCAGCGTGTGGCGAGGTGGGCTGGTTAGCCTTAAAAGTTATACTAGCCAGTTTCAAATTTCACTTTAGTATGCGAGTTTATTTTCCAGAAATTTGATTCTGCAAAGTTTGTTTTTTTGTTGGTTTTTTTGTTGGTTTTTTTATTGTTCCTGGTAAAAGTACATCGTGTTTTGATAGGAGTCAAAATACATGACCAGGGTTTTTTAAGAAAGTACATATCATTCACACACATCCATACACACATTCACACTCACTAGAAGCTTTAGTACTTATGAAGACAGAATGCAGGATATATATTTAGTAAAGTTTTGGAATAGCAAATGTTTATATTTTCAAAAGGTTTTCATAAGGAGCCCATTTCGTATAGAATTCAGTCTGTTTGGCATTATTAAAGTGTCAATATTTCTCTATTTGGTAATAATATTTAACCTCATTTTGGAAATGTGTAATGGTTGGTTGGTTATTTTTCATTTTGCATCTATAAATGTGAAATTTGGCCAATAAGAGTATCAGATCAAAAATATCATCGGTGTGGAAATGTTTTGAAAAGCCAAAAAGATTTATCATGCCAGTATGTGGACACTTGGATTCAATCCATTGTGAAAATCTTTTCCAGAAATTTTTGCTTACCCTACAGTCCCAAAACAGATGTTGGATAGATTCTGGCTCGGCATTACAGAAAGTACATAGACAGTTGTCAACACTATGCATCTTGAGTAGATAAGTATTAACATGTAGAATTCTATGGAGCAATCTAAGCTGAAACCATCTAAGTTTAGGGTCTGGAGTAGTTTTGTGTGCTCTGATAAATAAGCTAGGCCAGTTCATATCCATTAAAAGTTCATCTTCCCACTTGTCAATAACTTTTAAGCTTTCATCGGTTTGACTTATTACATCGTAATATTTCTTTGAGCCTTTTTTACATGAAAAGGATTGGCAATAGATATATTTGTACTGTTTGTTGTTTCCAGATGCAGGTCTTTATTAATGCCTAATTGTATCATGTATGTATTTACTGATCTTGTAATACCATAAAATTCAAGAAAATTTATATTGAAGTATTTATTACAGAATTGTTGCAATGTCATAAAATTTCCATCATTGTTTAGCAAGCAATGTATGCTGTGTATATTATTGAGATGAAAGGTTTTGTTATCTAATGATTTGCCATTTATAATAATATTTTTATTGTATAGCAGAGGTTCTCTTAGGAACTCTTCATAATTATTGGGTTTTATTTTATTGCTATATTTAGAAAAGGCAGTAAAACAATCTTTCCAAAATTGGTTTTTGGTTTTTTTAGCAAGCTTAAGTGGAAAATCACTTCCCATAAATAGTAAATCAGGAAATTCAGGAGTAGTATTAGTCATTAAAATTTTCCATTTCTTTTCCAAATCAACATTTAGTAACTTTTTTATCCAGATTATTTTCAAAGCGTCAACATATGCAAAAATATCTATCATACCAAGTCCTCCAAGGGAAAAAGGTTTACAAGCAACTGTTCTCTTTATTTTGTCTGGTTTATTATCCCGTAAAAACTTGAAAAGAATAATATTTATCTTTCTAAGGAATTCATCTGGGAGACTAGGAAGGGTAAGGAAAAGGAAATTAAGTTTTGAAATGAGCATTGATTTGATAATTGCAATTTTGCCTAATGGGGTTATAATTCTTTTCATCCATCTCTTAATGGTTTGTTCAATTTCAAAGATTTTGCTTTCAAAGTTAAGTTTAATCATTTTATCTCGATTAGTACAAAAAATTATGCCTAGAATTCTAAAGGTTTCAGGGTTCCATTCAAGGTTTAAGTCTTGTCTAAATTTGATATTACTATTCTTCTTGGAGCCTATCCAGATTATATACTGCATTCTTGCCTGTGTTAATAAAGAACACAACCGTCAGTTTGTAAGGGAGGGCGGGGAAACGTGTACTTACTGGTACACGCATTTGATAAATACGCTTTGTATCCATCAAAATAATGAGAAGAGGAAACCCGGAAAAGCTTTCTCAGACCCTGACACGGCTTTATCCAGCGATAAGACGAAAGGCTCAATTGCAACGTAATAAATAATTGCCGTCAGTACACATATACCCGTCAAGTGCAACCTATTCTTGTCGTAAGAGGCCACTAAATTGATCGGGTTGTCCGGCTCGCTGTCTAGGTTGATTCTATGCCAATTTGTTGGAGCGATGGTCTCGATGTTAATCACTGGATTGCCTGGACTCGATTATTTACAGACTGCCGCAATAAAGCTGGAATATTACTGAGCGCTGCGTTTAATAAACAACAACATACGGGTCAACTGCAGTATTTGGGTCCCCACTTCGGGGGTTTCCGTAAGGCAACCACTGCCTTCGGCAGTTTCAGTACGGAAGCTGCCGAAGGCAGCTTCGCTTATATATAAGCGCGCACGCGCAAGCGTGCCGAAATCCGTTAGGAGGCATTTTTTAGCAAAAAGGACCCAAAATATGTGCTGGACGTGAAAAGTATGGTCTAAAACTCCGCCCCTGTGGGGGTCGAGAGTTTTACGATAGAAAGTGAAGCCGAATTATTGTACTGTCAACTTCTTGTTTGTGGGCGGGACATAAATGACGTAAGACGTCACGTGTCTGATCATGTGACTTTCCTTATATGGACTCGTTACTACGAAAGCAACTTCGCTCATAACTTGTAAATTCATAAAGTGTGGCTTGTACAAATAAAACAGAGTCGACTTGGCGTACAGTGAAGACATCTTTGCATAGGTATGGGGCGAATGCGGGAATGTATTTTTCTTTAAAAAATGTCATAAAGGTGGGGTTGTACCTGCCTTGAACCCCGCTGTGTTGTCCGCCCAACAAAATATATTGTTCAAGTAACAGAATGAACTTACCGTCGTGCGATTTATTTGAAAAAAGGGGGGTGTAACCCCCCTTTACCCCCCATTTTTGCTTTAATATTTCGACAAGGGGGGACAAACCACCCTTGCACCCCCCGTGTGTTGTCTGTGTAAGAAAATACTGAACTGCAGACAGCGTTCGGTAGAAAAATGGCGGCCAACAAATCCTCTCGCTTCGACCGTAAATAACGAACTGCGCATGCGTGGAACGTTTTTCAATCGACAACTTCCGTAAACACGTAAAAACGTTCCTTCCGAAGTGGGGACCCAAATATTGCAGTCTACCCCAACATACTATTGCCAGAGCGGCAAACTCATGACAAATTGTATATGTGTTAAGGTATATTGCCACTGTTAAAATTTACCAAATTTACAATTCCCGATCGTTCCTATTGAAACTAATAATCAAGGGAAAAAGCAACATATTCTAATTTCAAGTTTGGGAGAGTAAATATGCAGGATATAGTCCGTTGAGGATATCAGGTTGAACTACGTCACTCACTCACTCACTCACTCACTCACTGCTCTTTTTTGACAGATGTTTGATGTCAATGGCAGCCCATGTGAGACTGAACCAGCGCGCGCTCGAGCCGAGCGAGCAGTACATCGGCTGCCCGGAGTGTCGCGAGGCAGTGTACATCAGCAACCTCGCCAACAGGGAGACAACTCTCAACTACCCCATCCAGCAGATCATCGAGAGCATGATGAGGAAGGAGAACGGCCACGGCGGACAAATCATTTCTAAACCCGAGATGGTGAGCTAGGAGACGTAGTACGCCTGATTGTAACGTTACGGCTGACACTCACTCACTCACTCAGTCATAAAATTATAAATTTTCAATGTTTGAAAACAGATTATGGGATATACAAGTTTGGGAAAGTTTGCTTGTTTGTTTGTTTGACTAATTGGGCCAATCTTTAGAATACAGTACCACAAACATTTCGAACACATGACAATACCTTAGACGTAATTTGTAGTATTTTGTTGCCATTCGCACCGGCGAAACAATGCCCTGTGACGTCAGGGGTCATCGAGTGTGCCTAAGCTCCTCCCAGTGATCTATCATCTCTACAGGCAATGGCATTAAATGTTGAGAGTTTTTAATATTTGTTTGCTAAGTATAGCCTGTGGCAGTGCATTTTATAGCAAGCCCTAGTTTATGAAAGCCCTTTTATAATCGTTTTTTTCGTAATTCAAGTGGGTAAAATGATTATAAATGGAAACTAATATACATATATTATTTTTGGGGTTCATTAATTTTCATTGTTATGCACACGAATGCAGTTTATTTTGTATATTATATTGGCGCTGAACACATCTCCGGTTTTAGGGTAAGTTATCCCGAACTCTATCCTTAGCCCTTGGGTCCCCTTTTCGATCAATCACCCCTTTACGGTCATTAGAGTTAGGTACCTGTTAAGTGGCCAGTATTGATTCTTTAGCTGCTCCTAATATTCTTTACACAAAAACATCGAGTAAGGAAGGATGAAATGGTTTAGTGTCGAATATTTTGGCTCCTGGAAACTGTCCTGGAACATTCACACAAGTCCCTTTCACCCGCTACATTTAGGCCTATTCAGTACTGATTCAAAAGCGAACTCACCCGTGTGTCGTCACTAGCCATGCTCATGTCTCCCCAGTTCCTTTCAATTATCCGCATCATCCTTACAGTGTTCACTGCCACACTTTTCTGTCACAAAAATCACCCGACGAATTATTAAATGCCAAGCCATCCGTGCGTATCCACGAGTTCGACGTCACGTCTGACGCCTGTGGCCGTTTTCTGTTCAGATTCTTGTAGATTACGGAATGGGACGAGTGTGCCAAATGGATCACTCGTAAGTGTCCGTAAACTAAAGTCACGAGACACCATGCCTACCCGTAACCTTCGTAAGTGTCCGTGACCTATTCGACCCTTTTCGTTTAGTTCCGTAAAGGCGGAGGCATGACCAGGTAAATTTGTACTTGATTTCACAGTGTGGACGTAGCTCAGTCGGTTAGCTGTCGGGCTAACAATCCGAAGGTCGCGAATTCGTGTTCGACGGATTCTCATAAAAACTAGTTGCTTGTCCTTGAGACGCGGGACCCACGGCAGAGATCGTACTCGCGAGAAGTTGTTTTACTGTAATCAAAAGCTGCTCCGAATGTTATATGTGTATCCCAGATGAAGGACGTGTTTGAAACGGACATAAAATATACAAGCATACACGGTTTCTCAATGCTTTTTAATAAACCTCCTGCGACAGCAGCCTTCAACTTCAGTGATAAAGCTATCATGTCACCTTCAGTCGTATACGACTGGAAAAAACAGGCACAGTCGCCAAGGGCTTTTACGGCAAGCATGGGTTGCTGCAGACCAATTCTCACCCCGGGTCTTCACGGGTCGCTTCATACATGTACCACCAGACGTAACAGAAAGATGACACTTTAGTCCGACACTCGACATTTCAGGGGATGAAACATGGGCTGGTCGGCTCGAATTCAGAATAACGTATCTGAGAGGGGAGGCTAATTAATCTCGTCAAGTGCGTGGTTACGGTTAGTTGCAGGCTCCACGTCAGCTGCTATTAAATTATCTACGTACCTAATGCCATTTCCATCTAAACGGTATCGCCGTATCAACTCCTCATCGTTGTATTCAACAAGACTGTCTTCTTTGATGAAACGAACGACGCCCTAGCGGTACGGCAGCCATTTTGTTTATGGACTTAAGTCAACACGTTGTTGTTAAGCCTACCCCTTCCCAGTCTTAAGACTTAAGTTTTCTTTCAGACTTAAGTTCTTTTATGAATACCGCCCCAGCACTATAGAACCGGCATGTCCTGGCTAGAACAAGCACACACACACACACACACACACACATACACACACACGTACATGCACGTTTTTATATGAATGACATAATCTTAAGGCTCGTTTCTGCGTCTACAGGTTGATGCAAGCACAAGCTACGACAAGGCAGACTTCGAGCAGGCGCTCCAGGTCGAGGAGACTCGCGAGCGGGAGCAAGTCATCCAGGCCTTCAACAAGGAGATGGACGGCTTCGAACGCGCTCTGTCCGGCAGCAGCAGCATCCTCAACGACGCCTTCCTCGACATCGAGAGGATCCGCGTCGACCATCTGGACAGATTGAGGAAAGACGAAGAGGCCGCGGCCAAGGCTCGAGCTGAGAAGAAATACGGCGGGAAAACACAAGACGTGACTGACCTCCCACCGATGATCACCGCCCCGGCGGCCATGTTGGATCCCGCCATCGTCTCCTACTCCATGCGGCATCATCGCCCTCCGCCTCTCTTCCACGACTTCATCCGGCGCCCTGCAGTGCCGGTCTATCTGTAGATGTTCATACCGATAGTTAATAGGACGGATATTAGGTTAACGAAACGTTTATGCGAATACGGATGAGGGACTTTTTTCAAACTGTTTTAGGGGTTCACGGGATATGAATTGATGTTACGGTCAGATATGAGGATAGTTTACATGTATGTTAGTGGTTTTTGTGTTACACTAGCACTGATCAAGCTTTGATACTCAACGGTATTGATTTATATATGGTGGATATAAGTAAGATCCAAAGATTCGTCATTTCATAATTATTGTTAGGAATATAGTGCAGCTACACAGTGTATTTTTAGATACATTTATTACATTCTGTGTTTAATGTGTGTCACGTGCAAGTGGTGTGTTCACTGTATTGTGTCAGTCATGTAGATATGCGTACCAACTTTTTTTCTAGTACTTTACAAGACAAGCTATAGATATTTACACATATTCATAGAAATGTATAAAATCACATCCGAATTTTATAGGAAATATATTCAAATGGAATTTTGACAATTTTGACAGAATCATCGTCAAAAATGACATATGATTGTTTCCATTTTCATTTTATTCAAGCTTGTCAGGTCACCTTACTATCATGATTTTAAAAAATCACACAAGGAATGAAACCCAATACGGTTTATGGTAATTAAATGCTTTTTTGAAATTAATCATAAAAATAACCTTCGCTGCATATATAAATTGGCCTTTTAAAATTTAAAAAGTGATCCTCGTGTAAAAAATACAAATCGATAGGATCAGTGACAAGTTATAAAATTCATATTTACAACACACTTTAAGATATTCTGCAAGATCCTCAGGGGTAAAATATATGTACAAAAATTACTCATGCTTCACTGCATTTGACGATTTCGTTGATTTTTGCATCCGTATTGTAAAAATAAGAAAATAAAGTTTTATTGTTTTTATTTCATGTGATCGATTGTGTATTGTTTACCGGACGGACCGACGGCTTTGTTGACGCCATTCCAATCTAATTCTGACGTAAGGTCGGAATGATGTCACTTTGGAAATGAAGTCATAGCTGAAGATTGTTGACGTCATTCTTCAGTTTTGATTTTCCAAGACGGCGGTCGTGATCAGGCCATCAGGGTGATCATCTGTACAAAAAGATCAGTGCATTTCCTAAAGGGAAGCTCAAAAGGATATTGGTCCACTTGCACAAAGCGATCTTAGCGCTACAATAATTGTAAATCCTTAAGATCGCTATCTTAGGCGATCTATTCCCTGACAAAATGGCGTGCAAGACCGGGATTGTTTCACATTAATAATCTGCTTTACGTTCAAACACTGCCCCTTTATTTTGTTAAACGTTATGATTCGAATCGACACTTCAACAACACAAAGACCGTACCACAGATTTAAGGTCAGAAATATCGTTAATTGCGACAGTGAACCACATAACTATCGAGTCGATAGCTCTACTATTCCCTCCCGTCTCAATGCTGAAGGAAGTCTGAAACAACATACCTTATCAAGGGAAGGATAAAACCTAAGTCGTCTGCAAGCGATTTGTAACGTCCGTGACCTTTTAGATAAATCAAGGGCAGCTAATCATAGTTTATACTCTAGATGGGGGTGGTTTTCCTTTGTATAAGTATCGTAGAATCTACCTTGCTCAGTGTATTAATGTTGTACTAATGTTAATGCCGAGCTCCCCTTTTATCTCTTTTGGGTCACATTCGTGTCAGTTATTTTGTCTTTAGTTCATCATTAAATTAATCTACAAGTAAACATAAGTTGAAGTGCAAATTCATACGTTTAAATCTAAAATCGAGTGGGACGGGCACGAGCGGTTGTAATATCTGAATTCATAAGAAACTAATACAAATATTCATCAAACAAGCAAATACACATGATGAGACATTTGAAATATGTGTAAAATATCCCATAAATAACAAAAGTAATATTCACACGTTTTAAAAAATATAATTAATACCCAGTGAATATATATTAAACAACTGCTTTCTTGAAACATTATTCATTATTCTTATTTCCCGTACATGCATTCTTGAAATCTCCCGTCTTACTGTGTTTTGAAAAGGTTGTCATAACATCCTTTGTAATAGCGGCGAAACTAAAACATGAAGGATATACATGTATTTAGGATTTTACGGAAAGCTCCCCCAAATAGATTACGATCATACCTGTTATGTTATTTGGACATATTATTTTCTATTTTCAATTTTCATAATAAGAATGTCATTAAATCTATATGCCAACATTCTAGTTATAGTTGCCTTCAAATAACTGGGACCTTTCAACTGTGCAAGGTGCGATGGAGGGAGGTTCGTGTTGTACGTCGTAAGCGGTTCCACGCGTTGTATGCGCAGCAAGATTTGCGCGTATGCAGACAACCGTAGAAAGGAGTCTATTTTAGATATTCGTACCTCCACCATTGACGATTTCAATCTTAGTTAAGATCGCGATCTTAAATCCAAGCTGTGTTACAATCGCGTTAAGATGGGTTTGTGCAAGTGGAATAGGACTATTGTATGGTGATTGTAAAGTCAATGGTAGCCGCCTAAGATTGATTGTAACTAATATTGTTCTGTGCAGGTGGGCCATGGAGTATGCAATGTATACTAATGTGAGACACGACTGCAATGTATAATGTGAGACACGACTGTAATGTATGATAATGTGAGACATGACTGCAATGTATAATAATGTGAGACACGACTGTAATATATGATAATGTGAGACAAGACTGCAATGTATAATAATGTGAGACAAGACTGCAATGTATAATAATGTGAGACACGACTGCAGTGTATAATGTGAGCCATGACTGCAATGTATGATAATAAGAGACATGACTGCAATGTATAATAATGTGAGACAAGACTGCGATGTATAATAATGTGAGACAAGACTGCGATGTATGATAATAAGAGACATGACTGCAATGTATAATAATGTGAGACAAGACTGCAATGTATAATAATGTGAGACAAGACTGCGATGTATAATAATGTGAGACAAGACTGCAATGTTTAATAATGTGAGACAAGACTGCAATGTATAATAATGTGAGACAAGGCTGCAATGTATAATAATGTGAGACATGACTGCAATGTATAATAATGTGAGACAAGGCTGCAATGTATAATAATGTGAGACAAGGCTGCAATGTATAATAATGTGAGACAAGACTGCGATGAATAATAATGTGAGACAAGACTGCAATGTATAATAATGTGAGACAAGACTGTAATGTATAATAATGTGAGACAAGACTGCAATGTATAATAACGATAAGACATGACTGTAATGTATAATAATGTGAGACACGACTGCAATGTATAATAATGTGAGACAAGACTGTAATGTATAATAATGTGAGACAAGGCTGCAATGTATAATAATGTGAGACAAGACTGCAATGTATAATAATGTGAGACAAGACTGCAATGTATAATAATGTGAGACAAGACTGTAATGTATAATAATGTGAGACAAGACTGTAATGTAGAATAATGTGAGACATGACTGTAATGTATAATAACGTGAGACAAGACTGCAATGTATAATAATGTTGGACTTGACTGCAATGTATAATAATGAGACACGACTACAATGTATAATGATGAGACATGACTGCAATGTATAATAATGTTGGACTTGACTGCAATGTATAATAATGAGACACGACTGCAATGTATAATGATGAGACATGACTGCAATGTATAATGATGTTGGACTTGATTACAATGTATAATAATGAGACACGACTGCAATGTATAATAATGAGACATGACTGCAATGTATAATGATGAGACAAGACTGCAATGTATAATAATGTCGGACTTGACTGCAATGTATAATAATGAGACACGACTGCAATGTATAATAATGTCGGACTTGACTACAATGTATAATAATGAGACATGACTACAATGTATAATAATGAGACACGACTGCAATGTATAATGATGAGACATGACTGCAATGTATAATGATGTAAGTCATGACTGCAATGTATAATAATGAGACATGACTGCAATGTATAATGATGAGACAAGACTGCAATGTATAATAATGTCGGACTTGACTGCAATGTATAATAATGAGACAAGACTGCAATGTATAATAATGTCGGACTTGACTACAATGCATAATAATGAGACATGACTGCAATGTATAATAATGAGACATGACTGCAACGTATAATGATGAGACATGACTGCAATGTATAATAATGTGAGACAAGACTGTAATGTATAATAATGTGAGACAAGACTGCAATGTATAATAATGTCGGACTTGACTGCAATGTATAATAATGAGACACGACTGCAATGTATAATGATGAGACATGACTGCAATGTATAATGATGTAAGTCATGACTGCAATGTATGATAATGTTGGACATGACTGCAATGTATAGGGGGCACGGGTGGCCCAATCGTCTAAGGTGCCGCGATTCGCTGTGCAGAGTTGCGTCCCTTGGACACGCCAGAAACCTATGATTGTGGGTTCGAATCCCAGTTCGCCCCGATTATGTTTCTAGGTTTGTCAGCACCATACCCGTGCTCGTGGGTTTCACCGAAGTGGTAAACGTCAGAGACCTGCATCACTTCGGGCTTTCCTCCCACATTAAGCTGACACGCCGCGATATAACTGGAATATTGTTAAAAGCGGCGTAAAACCCAACTCACTCACTCACACTGCAATGTATAACAAGAAAACAGCGTTATCACCATCCACCGCCAAGGGGCACATTACAATTTTCTTTTTTCATATATTAGTGACTATAAACTTAAAATAAAAAAGAGTCCTATAAAGCATGAAGAAGAGATTGGCACTAGGGTATATTTATGTCATCAGAAAAATAGTATCAAATGTGAAATTAATACACACAAAAGTCCCCTTCTCTGGAAAAAATAACTCAGTCTTGATAAGTATCTCTTAGAGCTAACTTCAGTAATTTCAGACACTAAAAGAACATTGGTCAAGGGCCGCACCTGTAAATAACGGACGGCCAATTTTCGAACTCAGTCTTGACAAGTATAACTTCGATAAGCATGGAAACTTTGTTTCTGAGAAAACATGTCCCCATTGCACATACTATGCACTAAGTTGAAAAGCATGGAGCAAGGGCCATAAATCTGTAAAAAATGAAGTAAGACAGCCATTTTAGAACCATTTAAGGTCATAACCAGTTATATCAGTGTGTAAAATTTCATTTTATATTTCTCTTAAAAAGTTTTGTAGAGAAAATGTGTCCCCTTTGAGAAAGACCTAAGGACGGACGGAAAGAAGAACGGACAAATTTCGTTCCTATATCCCCCGCCCCACTTCGTGGCGGGATAATGAACAGATATTGAAAACTCTCAACATCGTAGGGCTTATTTGTGCGTGCGTGCGTGCATTTGTGTGTTTCAAAAATATAAACAAAAGTATTAAATTGATGCCATGTCATGCATCAGGGTAGGATTATATAGAAAATCAACCTCAACAAAAACTATTCTTGAAATCTAGGAGACTGTTGTTGGAAGCGAAATAATACAAGCTGATCAAGTAATGAACGAACAGTCTCGATTGACCAGTTAAATCAGAAATTACTGTTGATAACTAAACATTTCAAAAGAAAAGTGAGTGAGTGAGTTTGATTTTACGCCGCTTTTAGCAATATTCAAGCAATGTCATGGCGGGAGACACCAGAAATGGGCTTCACATATTGGACCCATGTCGGGAATCGAACCCGGGTCTTGACGGGTCTTGACGAGCGAACGCTTTAACCACTGGGCTACCCGACCGCCCCTCAAGAGAATAGTAAACGGTAAGATGCGACATTAACTCAATGAATGACCAGGCTGTCATTATTTAACCATGTCCTTGAGGAACTAACCCAAATAGGAAATTAACAGTTTGTGTATGGGCTAGACACTTACGACAAAGGGGAGATA